ACCATTTTACTACTATAATGAATTGAAAGTAAATACGAGTAATAGTTTGGTGGTTTATACCATTTTCTTAATATTAATATGTGAGCACAAAGTATAACCATTATTTTAAGATGGTGAAAGTATATATCATGTAAACAAAATTAAAGTTCAATACCAATCCAATCAAAGATCGATAGTTTATAGGGGAAAATACATAAATATTGTTAAAATATTCAATTTTCTATATTATGACTTGTTCTGATTTTTAACATGTGTGACTATAAAGTGATTAATGATTTTAATTATGGAAAATAGAGCATCGAAAGAAGAAAAAACATCCTAAGAAATGTGCATAAAACAAAAAATATTCACTGTTGCAAAAATATTACTGCTCGGCATTATCGCAATTCATATTGGAATCACTAGACTTCTCTACAATGTTACTTCTCTTCTCATATACGCTATTGCCCTTTGACGACACCACAATCATTCACTAGCATATTATTGTTGTTACTCAATGTCATTAAATGAGAAAGAGACGAAAAACGGAATTAAAGAAACACTCACATTTTGCGATTGAAATTTTAGTTAAAATTTGATGGATATAAATTAGATCTAAGGGAGAACATGTTCAAAAATATCTATCAAAAAAATTCTCTATATAGGACCATCTCAGTGTGTCTCCTAGTCACGATTTAACTTGATTCAGCTTGAATGAGTAGGAATTGTTTTCCAGAAAACTATTTAGTCATTGCTCGGAAGTCAGAACACCTGGCATATTAAAAAACTACTTCTAAGGCTTTGTTTGCAAACCATTAAAAAATAAATAAAAAAGTGTTTCTCAGCTTTTGGCTTAAAAAGCTAAAAAAAAATGTTTTAAAGTGACAACTTGTACTTAAATTAATTCGGAGTACTTAAAAGCTAAAAGCTAAAATCTGTTTTTTACTTTTTCTATTACACAAAAAAGAGTTATCACACTACCAACTTTTAATTTTCAAAATAACTTTTTTCTCAAACACTATTAACTTTTACTATTAATTAATTTTTCCAAAATCTAAAAGTGCTTGCAAACAAAACCTAAAACTTGTGAGAAAATTTTAGTAAAAAGCAACCACAGCTACATCTCATTCACCTCTCCTAACATCTCATCCTCTCCCAAGTGATATGGATGTTGGATGACACAGCGAAAAGCATATTAAAAGAGCTCTATGTGTGACTTAAGGGTGTAAATGAGTCATGTCATTCGCGAGCTACTGGTAGATAGTTCGGGGAAAAAAATTTGACTCGAGTTCGATCATATTCAAACTCGACTCGAGTCCGATTCAACTCGAATCATTAACAATTTCAATTCAAGTCTATTTATTTTAAACTCGTAACTTGGGAACCTTTGTGTGTGCGCTATGTATACATATTTTCTTGGAAAATCTGAAAATATTTCAAATGAATAAAATTATCTTTAAATTATATTAATCTTCTACTCCAACCATACGTTTTCCAACCCCATTGTCACATACGTTATTTCTAATTAAATGAGTAGTTTTCTCTTATTAATTAATAATATTAAATTTTTTGCATTAGCCATTAATTGTATATTGAACATGCATCAAATGATTTGCTCAACGTGTGAGCTGCTCATCATTAGCATTATTATTATTATATACGTTAATTATATATACATATAATGCGTATAGAATATATGAGGATGGATGGCACATGCTACAGCTACCAAGATAACAACGAGTGTTTAAGATATATACTACGTATGGAGTTTATTTACGTGTATGTTTGCTAAAAATTTATTAGAAGGATTCGTGGAGGAAGGAGGATCAAAGTCTCAATTATCTTATACTTTTCAACAAAGTCCTTTGTCAAAAACTACCATAACTTTATTACTGGGTTCATATACTATTTTCTTCTCGTTAGTTCTGGTACCGGTTTTATAACCGAAAGGCTCGTTATATCTTAGAGGAATATTTTCGTACGTCGGAAATAATTCCTTAATTAGGACAGCGTCTGACGCGTCTCGAGCCACTAATATATTTTTAGTTCCTTTTAGTGATCATTTTGCAGGTCAATTAGCGGAGCTAGATGGTCAACGAGGTCAATTGAGGAGCAACGCGGTCAACAAGTTGAATTTGGAAGAATAGAGCCAACATATTTTATATATAATACATTTGGAATATATAATCTAAATTGTAATTATTCCATCTTCAATACTTATACGATGCATATTAATAATGGTAATAATTATAAATGTTATAACATTTATTATTAGGAAAAATTGATAGTAATAATCTCAACTATTGGCGGTCCGCTCATAATAATCTCAACTATCGATTATTTCAGAATAATCCCAACTTTAGGGACCTTCCGCCAATAATGGTCCATATAAATAAATTCATGTAGTTTCTAAAGTGGATGAGAACATATATAGCATGTAATCCTTATAAATAATCTCAACTTTTAATTTTTACACTTGATTTCTACTTAAAATTCACTTTTTATAGGAGATAATATCTGGTCATGGACCATTATTAGCGGACGATCCATATAGTTAGAATTATACAAAAATAATCAATAGTTGGGATTATTATCAGCGGACCGGCAATAGTTGAGATTATTATTTTCAATTTTTCCTATCTTATCATTATTATCTCATTATTAACACTATTACTATTATTATTAAAACCATAATTTGTAATGATTATCTGTAATATTTGTAGTTGAAATTTAAGTATAATAAAATGAAATGTTGTGGATCATATATTTCTTTCCAAAAAGGGAAATGTGACTTACTTTGGGACAATCCAAAAAAGAAAATAAAACAAGTAAAATACCGAGTAAAATTAATTTGAAAGTAAAAAATTTTATTTTCGAGCTTTAGTTCAAACATCATCAATCTCAAACTAGTGGTGGACTCGGGCCGGGTTGGCCGACCCGGAACCGGCACTGTTCTGGCCCGTCCCGACCCAGTGGCCCGGCCAATGACCGGTCCGGATAGACCCAACCCGAGGGATTTCAGGTTCGGGCTCGGGTCACCCAAAACATGAACCGGCCCGGCCGGTCTGAGCCCGATTCCGGGCTTTTTTTCATTTTTTAAAATCTCCGGGTTGGGCCGGGTATTTTGGGCCATTTGGGGTGGTTTGGGGGATTGGGGGTTAGGGGTTAAGGGGGTCGGGGGTAATTAGAAAAAGGGAAAAAATGTGAGAGGCCCGAGGCCCGAACCCGGACCCGTTGGCTACTCGGGCCGGTCCCGGGCCCAACATTTTCTAACCGGCGGCCCGGTTGGGCCTAGGCCCGGCCCAGGCCCAAACCAGTCCGAGGCCACCACTATCTCAAACCTATAAAAAGATACTTCTTCCGTTCTTATAATTTTGTCAACTTTGTCACTTTCTCATTTAAATGAAGAATTTATGATTCCAATTAATTCTCTCTCCTCTGTACAAACCTCAATCACACAATTTTTACGTTATTAATTCTCGTGCCGATCAAACTTGGCAAAATTATTAGGCATGGAGGAAATATTTAGCAAATCATGATCCCAAGCTCGAGTGGAGCTCAAACTAAGCTCATGAGCTCATCCCAAGTTAGAGTCCCATTTATTTAGCTCATCCAAACTCAAGTTCAAACTCATGAATTCTTATCAAACTCAAACCAACTCTCAAACCAACTCATTTGCAAGTTGCAACCCTGCTTGTGTAACTTCATAGGAACAAGGGCACAAGAATTGCTTTTTTCTGTTTATATTCTCTCGCAATTCAAATGTTGACTCGAGTAAATTAATTAAATTTCACATCTTCATCTCCTGCACTTCTAAGTGGTCTACATATACAGACAGGGGCGTATCCAGGGTGGGGGCAGGGGGGGCAGCTGCCCCCACTCAACCCCCACCCAACCCTATTATATATATATCCAATTTAAATTTATACATGTATTTTTTGTTGTACATAATGGTTCTTATACAATTAAAACGAATATTTTGATTAAACCTGCTAGCGATCGAGTGGAAAGAGTAGGAGACTTAAGATGTTCATTTGAGGTGAGGTTCAAGGTTCGATTCCTACAAGTGTATTTTTTTTTTTTTGTTTTATTTCTTTTGTCCTGAAGCCTTAAGCAAATTCTATACATTGTTCTTTTTTACTAGGGATGGACTGGGCCGGGCCGAACCGGCCCGGAACCGGACCGGCCCGCTACTGTGCGGGCCCGGACCGGACCGGGCCCGGTTGGCCGGTTCCGGGCTTTTAGCCCGTGTTGGCGGGTCGGGCCGGCCGGTTCCGGGCCCTATTTTTGTTGAACCGGCCCGTGCGGTTCGGGCCGGGCCCGGTTCATTTTTTTTTTTTTTTTGGTTTTTTCAATTTTTTTTCTTTTCCTAGGGTAGGGCTGGGTGTTTTAGGGAGGTTTGGGGCGTGGGGGTGAGGGGGGGTAGGGAGATAACAAGAAAGTAAAAAAAAAAAAAAAAAAAAAAAAAACATTGAACCGGGCCCGGTTAGGCCCAGACCCGGTATCAACCCGGGCCGGTTCCGGGCCCATGTAACCCGAAAAAAAGCCCGCCCGGGCCCAGCCCGGAACCGGACCGGCCCGGGTCCATCCCTATTTTTTACTTTTTTTCTTGTTGAAAAGATCTAAACTACATCAATATAGTTACAATTCTAGTTTCACATATGAATTAATTTTATACATAATAAAAACTAGTATTTTATTATACTTGTGAATTTTAAATAAAAATTAATTCTAACTAGATGTTCCTCCTTCCCTAGTTGATTCATTTATATATTGACATAATTTTGCACAAAGTACATATTCAATGTGATAAAATTATTTCTAACAAAGTGAAATTTAATTAAACATAATATCGTAATGTTTTTTATGAGAGAATATTTTGTTATTTATAATTAGTTTTACATTTTTTTCTTAATCTGATTAGTCTAATTTATCTTGTAATTTTCTCTCTCTTAATCTAAGGTAAATTTGCCCCCGCTGACATATTATTCTGGATACGCCACTGTATACAGATATACATTGCCAGTATGTAAAATAAATTATAGATTACTGATTACGTAAAAGCAAGGACGAAAATGCTTTGGAATAAATAGTCATTCACTTGATCGATCACCTCCCATCATAACAAAACAAAACTTGATATAAAAGTTTGAATACCCCTCAAATAGCAAAATTAGAACTAACAAAGAGAGTTGCTGGAACCAAAACATACTAAACTGCCTCTCTCTATTAATATTATAAATATTATATCCGCAGGAACAAAGAAGTCTTGGACTGCCTAGAAATACTCCTGTCTCTGCATGGGGTCAAATTTACTTTCCAGCACTATGCTTGGCTTGTGAGTGGGAACCCAGAGCACTTTCAGAGCCAAAAGTCCTGAAGCAAAATGCAATTAGAGAATTGGTAGTGGTAGTTGATTACAGGATTAAATAGAACTCTGAATTTGGGCAAGCCCAATATGTTTTTACCTATTGCATTCTTTGCATTGATGAGAACCTCCTGATTTTGGAGTCTTCTGAGCAAGAGGTGTCTTTTCAGTTTTCTTTGAAGGATGTGGTGTAGCTACATGTGTATTACCCTTCTTCCCATCTGGGACATCCATCATTTTAAAAAAAAAAAATCAATATTTATTTATTTATTTATTTATTTACAAGACATCCATAGTTGCAATAGAAAAGTGATTTATTGGACATTCAAATAAAAACACCACACAATAGATTAAATGCAACAGAGGAGATAAGCAACACACTAACCAGTTTTCTGCTGGGGAGTAGTCAATTTGACTTTTTTGGCAGGAACGGGTGTTTTCTTTGCAGAAGATTCAGGCTGTCTTTTCTTGCCACTTTCAACCTTTCAACCATATAAGACCAATCAGATATTGAGTGAAGCCAAAATCTTAGTAAAGTAGGAAAAGGTCATTGACATATCTATAATACCTTCTTCGGTGTTTCCTCTGCCTCCTCTTCTTCAGAATCCTCTTCTTCAGAATCACTTTCATCCTAGAGAGAAAGAAAAACATAATTAGCCAACGATGAGGAAAGAATAAGACTACTTCATAGCAAATTTATATCAATTACGAATATAGAATAATATAATATGGTTATGTTAATAGACAGCATCATCATTTGAAATCAAGACATCAAACTTGCATTGCCAAATCACACACCATAAGCACAAACAACAAAGTGAAACACCTTACAAGCCTAGGTATCCCCATTAGCAGATATGAGAAAGTCTGGAACAAGAACTTCCACAACAAGCACATAAAAATTTCAGAGTACAACATAAGGCCTCTGTTATTTACATTTTCAGTACAAAAACTGATGCCAGGACAAATTATTATTATTAGTAAAAAGTAATACGGAGTATTAACAATGAAAAATAGTAGATGAGTTCAACAAAACGAAACTAGTAATGCAGTTTATAAACCATAGATTAAATATATGCATTACCTCAATTGAAGCTCCTGAGTCAGAATCTTCATCATCATCTTCCATTTCATTGTCTTCCCCACTGCTTTCATCATCTTTGTCATCCTCCACTCCTTTCTTGGGTTCCGAAATTTTCACCTTCTTCTTACCTGCAGCAGAACCCTTGGCAGCATCTTCCTTTTCGACAAAGGAAGGTTTCGCATTCTTTTCATTGGCAAGGGGTTTGCCTAAAAACAAAACACAAATTCTAAGTTTAGTAAAAATACAGAATTATGGTCAGTAATGAAGTCATTCAGTCTTTTGCACCATTAGCTGCTTTGTTTTCAATTTGGAGAGGTTCTTCGGTATCTGTATCTGTATATACAAGGAAATGCTGAGTTAGTGCCATGCCATCGATGATTGATTTCAGCAAGAATGTAATATAAAGAGTAGAGCTGAACTGAATACTGCACTGACCATCTTCATCATCACTCATTTCATCTGAACCCACATATCCATGAAAGTAGACACTTCCATTTTTCCAGTTGTGTGATATTGTAATGTCTCTCTCAAAATACAAGTCAAATTGTTGCTGTGGCAGCTTCTCAGTGTTGAGTGTAGCAAGAACATATTTTTTATCATCAACAGTGACGTACAAACAAATAGATTCGGGGCCTTTCTCTTTCTTAACCTCACCGATATTGGCCTGAAGATCAATAACAACATGAATATTGATCAGAATCCATCATAAAGCACCACATATGTTGGTTTATAGCTAGTTTACCTGAGAAAGGTGCAAGATCTTGTCCATGCCCAGCTCCACAGCTAGTGGCTGTCCACTTTTGACCTCAGCACCTGAAAAATGAAAATGTTACTATGAGGTGACAATGATGAGATTTATAGTTGCAGTTTTGGAATAGAATGATAGAAAAGATAAAGTGTAAACACACTCGCACATGAACAATTTGTACTCTGGTTTTATCCTAACTGCTACTAGCCTACTACCATGGAAACAGCTAACAACTACTACAGTTGAATGTGGTTACATTGAGACTCAATGCAAGCAAAATGACTTCAGAGATATAATTAACTTACTTTATAATTAAATGTAAGGAAATATGTTTTATATAAATATAAAAAGTAGCCATGTAAACAATAACTGGTTTTTATCTATTAGCAGGACCAACTAAACCATTGACAGAAGGTTATTTTACTGTTGATCATCCAACATGAAAACACAGTGGAGTTACAAATTCCGAGGGTATCAAGAGCAATTCCTTTAAAGCATTGACTCAAAACTAATATGAGCTGAACACCAAATCAATCCTCAGTATCAGAGTAGAGAGCAGCAAACATGCAAGGGGCGAGAGGTATGGACACATTCAAACACGGATGTTTTATGCACCAGACTGCAGACACATACGTGCAGATGCAGATGAAACAAAGTAGAATGAAGAAACAAACACGACCAACTGGATTCAAGTAACAGGTACTACTGAACAATTATTAATAAGCTACAAATTCGAAAATGTAAGGAAAGCGAGGGGAATCAACACAGAGACGCACACTCTAACCGGTAGATTCGTCACATAAACAAAAATAAAACAAGGTTGAAGAAGCGTTACCCCAGAACTCCATTTGATGAAGAAAAAAGGAGAGCGACTGAGAGAGATAGGGTTTTACGACGAAGCGAGCAAGCGAGCGGATACAGATAATTTTAGGGTTCTAAAGTGTACAGAAAAATACGAGTATATATAAAAGGTAGACAGGAGGAGGGGGCACCAGGGTAAGCGAACCAACGATTTGAATAGGGCTTTAGCAAATTTCAGCAACCATTTAAGTTGGGCCTTACCAAATTTGGGCATGTCTGAAAATTGGTCCAACAGACCTAACCCACTTCATGTGTCGAGTAGGGGTATGCACAATTGCACAGGTCCAAAATTTTAACGATCCACCGAAACGGACCTGTTACATCCTGGTTTGACCCGGACTGGACTGGAACCCGAAATCTTAAAATTCTTATGATTGAGATCCAGACCTTTTTGTACCTGACCAGTCTAGACCGATCCATTCTGGTCCTATTCAGGTCTAAAGTATGGTCCAGCCCAGCTAATGCACACTCATGGTCTTGACCTTTGCAAGTTGTAATCATTGTTTTTTAATGTTTTAATCAAGTTTTTTTTTTTGAATTAATGCTAATTAATTAATTAATTACGAAAATAATGCTAGGTTAAAAGTATTTACCGATCTACTGATGGGTTTAACCATGGTCGGGGAAAGTCGTCAAACCGTTTGGCGACTCATAAGTCGCCATCCGGTTGGGCGACTTATGAGTCGCCAAACGGTTTGACGACTTACCCACTGCCATATTAAATTCATATCTATCTATAAATAATACATTTTAAAGATACAATTATGGAAAGTTTTGTCACATGTCATCTTCTAAGCAAACACTCATTATAATATTGTAGATTTTTTTTTTCAAATTGAGTATATTAATTAATTATACTTCCGTTAGAATAGTATATAACTTCGATTAGAACTCACCTTAATTTAAGACTAAGCAGAATCCTACGTAACAACCAATACTTAAAAAACTTTTTAAATAGCTATAAATTCTTATTCAAAAAATAAAATTTCATGTTTATTTTAAAGTACTATAACTTTTCTGTTCGTATTCTGATTGTTACAAAAATTATATCAAATTTCATAACTTTTTTATTATTTTTCAAATGACACCAATATTGAATATTAAAAAAAATAACACTTGAAAAATACTCTCTTATGAATTTGATATTTTTTGCGATAGTTGGAGTACAAATAAAAATGTGACAACACTTAAAAAAACATACTCCGTATGTTTAAAATATAAATCTAAAATGTTTTTGGCATTTACATGGATGAAATTATTATCTAAGCTTCAATATTTTAAATAAAAAACATTAACAAGTATGTTTAGAATGTTAATTGCACACTCAAAAATTATTACTGCCATCAACCCACTAACATTGGGACATGAGGGAATGACAAGATTATTAAGAATAATGAGTTTATGTGATTGATATTGAATTGATAAAGTAAGAATAAAATAAAAATGATTTGGAGTCACACAAACTTTATGAAATTTGGTATGAACAATATTGGTGGATTTTCCGAAAATAAAAACGGGACAATCTAAATGGGACGGGGTAGTATAATATTTAAATAATTTACTTAAAACTATAATTATAGTGTAATTTTATAAAATTACATTTGTGAAAGAAAAAACATATGATTTCGTTCAAATAAAAAATAAAAAGAAAAAAATATGATTTTGATGTTAAAATAACTCTTTACATAAAGTTGGGGTGTTTACCCTACATCCCTCAAAAGCTCGGGGTCTTTATATTATTTCCTCCCGGTATATATTAATATAGTCTTAATATATGTTGGTCGAGAGTTTCAACTCTCGGAAAGTTTTATTAATTACATATATGATATCGTGACACTAAAATGGGTGTTTAAGATTTAGATAAATAAGCTAGATTGTATATAAAAGGTACATGATAATTGTTTTGTTTATGGATGTAATTTTAATACTCCCTCCATCCCATTAGAAGGTTCCCGTCCACTATTCATATGGTCAACTTAAATCATTTTTAATCTCTTGCTTTATATATCAATTTTTATCAAATTGACATTTTTTAATCACACTTTATAGAGGTTTTAATGTAGTTTCTGAATATGTGAATTTTATTTACTAAAAATAATCAGAGCGTGAACAGGGATTAGGTTGCTTTATCATCAGTCAAGCATCGTGAACCGAAACAGGAATCTTCTAGCTGGACAGAGGGAGTATAATACTCCCTCCGTCCCATAAAATTGTTCCCGCATTGACTTGGATCAGAGTCTAAGAAAGTGAGAATAAAGTGGAAATGTATGGTTGTGGTTGAGTAAGAAAAAAGTAAATGAATGGTAGCCACAAAAAACTTTCCAAAAGGTATGTTTGGAATTAGTTCAAAAATAAGATATACTTAATAAATTAGAACATGCATTTAAAACAAATGTTATAATCGATTAAATAAGTGATTTTTCCTTACTAAAACTGATAGAGTATTTAATTCGAGAGAGAAGTGAGAGCTAGAGGGAAAAAGTGAGTAATTAATATTTCTCAACTCCCTATAACTAGCCCTTTGGGGTCTATTTATAGGTAAAAATGTGGATTTGGGTCCCTAGCCTTGGGCTTAGGAGGCCCGTTACAATTTGGACTGAGGGGAAGAAGGTGACTACCCCCACTGCTGCTGAGAACGAGAAGCTGACTACCCCGACTGTTGTGAAAGAGAATGTGACTGCTCTTCCAGTCGAGAATGTGGATGCAAACAAAACGTTGTAAGTACCTCTAACTCGTCTAATTCAGCCTGCTCTAAACCTGATCCATATATCATTATTAAGGAGCTTGAAGGGAGACTAGAGAATAATTACAATGCTCTAGTTAGACAATTAGAAAAGCAGACTTGCTCAAACATCAGGATAACTAATTCAGAGAAAACAATCACTAAGCCCACAGCTAAAGAACAAAAGACTGAGTGTTAGCGAAAAGAAACTAAGAGAGAAGCTTATAACTACTGAAAAGGAAAGAGTCAAATTTTTTTGGCCTAAACAACCTTCTTTATAAAACTAGGGATTCTCTACACCAAGATTAAAGAACTTGAAGACTTGTTAGCCAAAAGGGTCCAAACATGCCAGACTTATTTCCTTAACCAGCCTAAGGACACTAGTTTCTACAACTCCAAGGAAGGCCTAGGAATTGCCAATCCTCAGAAGCTGAAAGAGGTCAATTGTATCCAACTGTATGACGTTAGATGCATGAAAATAGGATTGACCAAACTTATGGCCTTTACTGGAGCTGAAGAAACAAATGCCCTCGAGGATAAAAAGAGAAAAGCAAAGTCTAGAGCTGAGATTCCTTTTGACTATACTAGTCTAAACCGGGGTTACAAACCCAAAGAGCCCTCGTTGACCCCTGATGATGAAGTTTTGACCTATCCTCCTGATAAAGAAGTTTGCAAGATGGAGAGGAACCTTCAACTTTTGTAGCCAAACCAACATACATTCCACGACTTATGAGAAAATTTGATGAGTTACAAGAATCTTTTGATAAAGAAAAACAGGCTTTTGAAATTGAAAGAGATTAACTTTTGAAAGAAATATCCTTATTAGAAATTTCCTCTCAGTCTAGCATAGCTTCTCAACCCTCTTCACCTTCTTCATCAGAAAAACATTTTGAAAATTCAACCAATAGTTTTAAGACTTCTTCCATTCACTCTGAGTCTCCTTCTCCAACAGGGAACCAAGTGAAGAAGAGATTAGAGAAGAGAGGAGAGTGGATTGAAGAGAAATTAATAAGAAGGAAGAGAGAAGAAGAGTCACGTCTAGAAAATAAGAATCAACGGTCGAGTGTTTTGTTTTACGTCAAGAATAAGTGTAGATCTAGCATTAGTGAGCCGTCAACTAGTTTTACTAGAAGTCCTTCTCCTAAGTTTTATAGTTCTAAGATATCTGTTATGGATCGTTGTTCTAATTGTTGTGCTTTGAATTGTGTTAAGTTAATGTAATGTTGTTGTTTTGAGTCTGATTCCTCTAATGATTCAAATGATTCAGTGGTTGTTAAGAAAAGTGTGAAGAGGCCTAATTCTGAAAAAATGAATGTTGAGGGTGAGATTGCCAAGTATTGTGATGGGACACTGAAGATCATCCGGGTGAAGATCCAACCAAAGAAAGAAGAAATTGAATGAAAACTTGCCAATGCCTCTGAAGATGAAATAACAGAGTTTGACAGAATGAACAAGGTGCTAGATGCAATCAATGAACGACTCGAAAAGAGAAGAATGTTGCGCCAATTTGAACATGCTCTAGCACTGCAAAGCAACTACTACAAGAGGCAGAAGAATCCACGAGAGTCGACAATGAACATGTGATCACAAAGGGGGAGAATGTTAGAGATATTTTTAGTGTTGTGATGGATGTATTTTATTTAGCCTCTTGTTAGTAATTATTATGTATTAAATAGGCCAAATATGGTAAAGGCTCCAAGGCCAAATTAGGCATGGGCCTCCTCAAAAGGTGTGCCCATATCATTGTAAACCTACCATTCTAAGGAGGCTATAAATAGGCCCCTTAGGAATGGATAGGTTAAGCTTTCCCCATTCTGATTATTCCTTGAGCCGCATAGCCTATTTGAGAAAATAAGTTTTTACGCTAAGTTTCTTCAACATTCTATAAAACTTCATCTCTTCAATGGAAAGTTTCACCCTTCACCTTTGATATGTTTTTCACATGTTCTAGACTAGGAAACAGGGACCTAACAACCAATACATTTTATTCCATTTTATGCCAGATAAAGAAATACAGAGTAATGCTCTTATGTAACTACGTGACCGCTTGATTTGTATGCTAGGAGCTTGATATGCATGTTTATTTACAAAGTAGAAATCTTCCCATGTTTGGAAACATGATAGAATTTTCCAAAATACGAAATTGTTATTTAGCCATTTGTTTGTGGACTGAATTTCCATGTATGTTGTAGTTCTTTGTTATGATTTATTTCAATCCATGTTTTATGCTTTAAGTGTTTGCTCTTAATTTTCATTGTTCTTATAGTCATCTATCCATTGCCTTTTCACATTCGTTTAACATTTACAATTACATACTGAATGTCATTATGATAGTTCTATTTAACTGCGCATTGCCTCTTACACTAGTTTAACATTTTCTATCACTTACTCAATGACATTACTCATAGTGACCAATTC